TGTTTTAGCTTGCGTGTGAACTTAATATAAGTTAGAAGAATTAAATATTTATAAAATAAAAGTTAATGTATAACATTAAGTCCGGTATTCATAATCAGTCCTTATTTTAAGATCGTCTTAAGTAATGTTAAGATGCAATACGGTTCTGCCTTTATGACATTTTAAGACTACACTTAAGATGCTTAAATATAAGAATCAATTATGAGTACTGGTCTAAATGTTGCTATGTGTAGTAAGAAAATTATATAAACAAAACAAATTTGCCTAAATTTTTTTTAAAACTTTACATATAGGTGGGCCAGTCTCTCTTAACATTAAGGATGTCTCATGGTCTTTCCTCCTCAATTTCTGAAATACCAAATCGGCCATTTAAATCGTTAACGAATTTACAGCATCTTGACCTTAGCAATAACAAGATACGATCTTTACATGCTACATCTTTTCATTTTTTGAAAAGAATAAAATGCATTGAGCTTCAGGATAACGAAATTGACAACATACTGAAGGGTACCTTTCAAGTAAGTTGCTTCTTTATACGACATGTATCTTATATGACAAAAAGATTATTTGATTAGGGTGATATTCATTCAACGCTGGAAGAAATCAACTTCGCTTTTAATCAAGTGAGGAATCTGCAAACTCATACATTCGTCGATTTATCGACCCTAATAACAATTAATCTGAAGGACAATGTCATCGAGAGGATCGAAAGACGAGCCTTTATGAATATGAACCGACTTAAATATATCAATCTACGCGGCAACAAGATTAAAGACATCACTGATGAAGCCTTCCAAGTAATTTGATATATGCATACATGCGTATGTAATAAATTTGTGTAATAAATTCTTTAAAAAAAAAAAAACAAGTTAGGTATGTGTTTGGATGTACTTACAGTATATCTATAAATTCTACAAATTAAGTTAAAGTCGATTGTTTCTTAGTAAACATTTCATAAAGAGTATTAGTTCAGATCTACATAAGACGCAGAACGCTGGTCATAGGTGGTAAGATTAGAAACCTAACGTATTTTTATTATAATATATTACAGGACGCTGAACAACGTAGGAAGTTGGGTGACTTTCGAGTTCTGCGTTCTACATTCTACGTATTGCGACCTGCAATCTATTATAATCTGAAATATATTTCACTTACGACCTGTGTTCTATGTACTATGTAGATCATGCTTTACTTATTACATATTTACAATTTTCCATGTACTAAAACTAAGAAATTATATTTTTGTTAAACTAAAACCAACTTAGAATTAATTAAAAATAAAGATTATTTGAATTAAAAAAATTCAATGCAATTAAAATTATAATTTTTATTGTTAAAAAATAATTCTACAAGCATTAATTATTTTGTATTTATTCTAAGTAAGAATTTAATGATAAATGAATGGTTTGAAAAGTATTACATACATTATTGATGAGAATATACTATTTTAGAACTTACCAGATCTTGAGTTTCTTGATCTCACATATAACAATCTTAATGAATTTGACTTCGCCTCATTTGATCAAGTGGGTACATTATCTTCATTCAAAGTCAACGTCAGCCACAATGAAATTTCGAGATTATGGGTAAATAGCACCTCTTTGATATCTTCGTCTGTCGGTAAGTTTACAATCTTCATGTTTGATAAACATAATCTCTCATAAGAAATATTAACTTTTAATTTGGAAATTATAGATAATGAACATAAAATTTAATTTTGAATCATTTCGTTGTTTTATTTTATTTAAATTATTTAATATTTTATATTTTCTCTATTTATTAAGCTGTTTTTATTTATAGCAATCATTGTTTTTAAACTGATATTCTTAATTTTCTCATTTCTATTTTTAGTTGGTGGTAATGTGCAATCGAACATCAAAGTTTTGGATTTGAGTTACAATAATATTTCTGATATTGCAAAGTATTACTTCAAGCCGGTCGAGTACTCACTTACTCATCTGTATTTGTCAAACAATCAATTAAGAAACATCACTCAGGATGTCTTTGGCAATATGCCTCACTTGCAATGGCTCGACCTAAGACATAATGAGTTGATGGAGCCAGATTTTGATTGCTTGAAGAACACGAACAACTTGCAAGTGTTACTTTTTTCCTGGAACGAAATCATGGACATCCCGGCGGAAACTCTAAGACCCCTGCAGAAACTACGCATCGCGGATTTATCTCATAACAAGCTGAGAACACTGCCAGATAATATGTTTACTGACTCCAATATAGAGAGTCTCGATCTCTCGCACAATCATTTCACGAGACTGCCCGTCAAAAGCATGTCGGTGACTTCTACTGCAAATTTGGCAAATTTGGATATGTCCTGGAATTTGATATCGGGAATTCACACTACCGACACGATATTCAGACTTAGAGTAAGTTTATCACTCTAAGAACTCTAAGATAGCTACTTGTTTTTTATTAACTATATCTGTCTATTATATTGTCTAATTGTTTATCGCTAATTAATTATATTACAGATTATATTATGTATTATTTTTCAATAGGGTCTCGTCTGGTTAGATCTATCGTATAATCGACTCGTTAGATTAGATGACGGCGTATTTTCTGATCTATCGTATCTAGCTCATCTTGACTTAAGCCACAATAAACAACTTATTTTGGAAAGCCGTGGAAGGACATTCTATGGTTTGGAGGACACACTTTTGTATCTTGGTCTGAGCAATATTTCTCTCTTAAGTGTAGGTATTTTATTATACAAAAGATTTATATAGAACAGTAGCATGTAATGCGTAATGTAGATTCCAGAGTTGCCTCTAAGACGATTGCAAACCTTAAATCTGGCACATAACGAACTGGCATCAATTCCTTCGGAAATGTCATCCAATCTTACATCTCTTCATTATTTAGATTTAAGTTACAATGATTTGACAGTGGTACCCTTGATTACTCACACGTTGCCGGAATTAAAGACTTTCAATTTGGCGAACAATCCCATTAGTGCTATTACAAATACTAGTTTTCTCGGCGTTGCCGACAGTCTTGAAGAGCTCGATATACAAAGACTCACTTTGTCAATCTTTGAAGTAAGATTTTATTTATATTTTGAAAATTTGCATGTCACACAAAGTTTGCAAGAACTCATGATAAACACGAATTGATTTTTGTAGGCAGGAGCACTTTGCAAAGCCACTAAACTCCGCAAACTGCACATTACTGCGTACAACGGTATAAAAAATTTCAACTTTCCTAACATCTTAGAATATAACCACGGTTTAAAACATTTGCTCATTGATGTGAGTACTGAATGAATAGCGTACCATGAAAATTAGATTTACTGAACATATTATATTTGTAATAGATTCAAAATGACACCGATCTAGATAAGGAAATGAGAGGGAGATTGCCTTACAAATTATATAACATTACGTTGACTGGTAAAGCTTTAAAGAGTATACATCCAGAGATATTGCACGTAAGTTTCCGTTTTTTAACTCGTAGTTAAAAGAGATTTTTGTGAAATCTCAAAAACTTTTTATGTATTTTTTATGTATTTTTACGTGAATGTATTTTTTATTTAAGCAAAAATTTTAACTGTATTTGGATCAAAATAATTCCGACTTAGAATTAGCTAATTTATTAAATGTTATTTCATTTTCATGAAAACTATCTAGTAATTCTATATCTTATCATAAAGTTTAAATTTTAGCAATAATAATTAGATGATGAATTTTATTGAAAAATGTTAAATATTATTAAGAAAGTTATTACGTATTGGTTTGAAGTAAACAATGAGTAATTTTTTAGGGTATACGAAATCCCCACCTTCACTTCGGTTTGTACAATACCAGCGTAGCGAGTGTGTCACGAGAAATATTCAGAAATGCACAGCGTGTACGTAATGTAACCGTGGAAATTCGCGATAGCGATATACAAACATTGCATAATCCATCATCCGGTTACAAACCGGGAATATCGGGCCAACGATTCCTCATGAAACTTCGATTAGCGGGTAGTCATATCAATTGCGATTGCGATATTGGGTATGACATAATAAAATCAAATTATTATATAGTAGAATACTTGAACGTTGAATATAAATTTAAAAGAAATAAAGCGTACATTAATAAACTGCAATGCCATTTAAAAATGTGGCGATACAAAAGACATTAATATATTTGATTTTAAAATGGATTTTTAAATTAATAAAGTTTTATTATTTTATTCTTTTTATAATGTAATTATTCATTATATACTATTTTTGATTTGCAAAATATTAATTGATCTACTAAGAGATTAGTCAACAATATTAATTTCTTTTTACATAGATGGATAGAAACGTGGCAAAGAAAGCACAGACAATATCAAGAGGATCGATGTATTTTTTACGAAAAATTCTATAATTTCGAACGAGAAGAGGGCGACGAATTTAATTGTTGGGACAATGGTTGGGATGATGACATCCGTGAGACGTTTTGTCTGAACAAAAACAACATATCGTTGTCAAATGTGTTAAAAACGGAGCTGGAATGCGGATGGGCTACGGCGAGCACTATTGAATTGAACACTATCGTTTTCTTGGCGTTTTCAATCATTTTAGCTGTCATTTATTAAGCATTTTTTTTCAATTTCATTGCCTTCTATTCAATTCTCAAACTGATTTGCGAATTTTATCATATGAGATATCGTAAAGAAATAATTAACAATGAGATGTCATGTGCTCTTAAATTTGTACAAAGAAAGATTAAATTGTAATTAAAGAATTTCTATAAGAGATCATGATTTTATATTCACCTTTTTTAATACAATACTGCATTTTAATTACGCGTTACAAATTTAGTTACAATATCAATTGCCATTTTTACAATCGGCAAAATGATGAAGTCAAGTATAAATATAAGGCAAACGTATACGCTGAGCAATTGTATGACGAAAATTGTGAGTTTCACGGCTACTTGCTGAATATTCTTAGTTCTGCGTATATCTATTATTTTGTCTAACACGAATCTCAATATGAAGGAAAACATCTGGAATTCATATTTCAAGAAATACACATTTTAATTCTTTACTTTCGATTCGCTGACCGAAGATTTAGAAAAGTGCTTATATAATCACCTGAATAACAGGAACGACATTAATGATCATGTATATCAGTCCCAACAAAGATCGTAACGTAGCGTGAGCCATTATTACGATCAAAGCAGCGAAGGAATATTCGGTACGCGGTGTACCACAAGATTCCTGATAGGTAGCTAAATATTCTCGACAATTGAAGAGAATGCTTTGCTTTGCTCTTCCTTCTTGGGGCTCGTCCTCTTTGAAAATATTCTCTACAATGTTACAACATAATTCAATTACCTAGTGTTTAATTTGTACTTTTTAAAAAATATTTTTTATGTACATTATATCAACTTGTATCAAAATTTGTTTTAATCTATCGTCAATATAAGATTGTAATTATATCTATGTGCAAGACTTAATGCTACAGACAAAATTTTTATCAAATAAGATTTGTATCCTAATAATAAATAAAAAAATTTAATGATTACTTACTTGACTAGCGTATTTATAAATTAAGGTTATCATATGACTGTTAAATAATCAATTATACTAATATATACATTAGTATAATCACATTATGTTCTTTTAGATGTTTATTTACCTAATGTGTGACTAGATTTTCCATAATCCATATGATTGGTAATAGAAACGCTATATGGATTTTTATACTTCCATGAAATATGTTCAAATTGTTGAATCATATTACTTTCAGATGTAGATTTATCATCTTTCCCGATACCTAAATTTTCAGTCTGGCTTAATGTATTCAGAACTTCTTCTGCATTAATCATGCCTATTGAAGATTGAAGAGATAAATTATCTTTGCTGGAATACTTGGGCTCATCCAAAATCTATAATAATAAAAATTATGAATCATGTATTTCTTATTATTATTTTGCGCAATAAGTTTTTTTTTAGTATTATATGGTATTTTTTCCTTTTTACTTTTCTGTACAAGCTAGAATTGTCTGCTCGTTGAGATTGTTCATGTTTAATGATAGGCTTAATGGTGTTCGATTTGCAGGGAGCAGCTAAAACTTGAACGGTTTGCTTTCCTTCGATATGCATATTCGCGAAATTTACGTAATAAATTATTTATAACATTTAAAACTACATACAGAGAAATTGACGAAGTGACAACCGAGTGGATTTTTCATTGACCTTATCGAACTTTCATCTCTCTATAGATCGTGAATGTAGCACATTTGCGCGAAAAATGTGAAGTTACTATAGAAATTATTTTTTTAGCCGCAACGATACTTGCGTTTTTACATGTAAAAGAAATTATGTAAAAATACAATTAAAATTCTATCTAAACAAGTAAAAAATATTTAGCATTAAACAATTATATTAGGTGTACAAATTAATTCTCGGTCCCTATCTTTTAGCGACTTTAGAATTCGTTTAAATTGAACTCCCCCCCCCCCCCCTTATGAGACCACTCGAATGGGTATTCTTTTACTGAACTGGTGCACAAAGTGCAATAAGTTGAAGTGAAACAGATATATGTTTATTTCATTTCAACTTATTGCACTGTGTGCACAAGTTCAGATAGTGCAGGCAAGAAAAAGCCTCATCACTGGTAAAGGTATGCACATAGAAAGCCTGTAATAAGAGAGTCGCCAACATGACATGTGACTCGAATCGCGCGCTGATTGGTTTGGTGCTATTTATATATATCATCCACATATAGTGGATTGGCTCATGACATCACGTGACATGAACGACTGCGCATCCTACGGAACGGAATGCTTCATCTTGTAATTTGTGTTTCCATCATGGTCACGTCACACGTACACGTGCTTTGCTTATGAGTTCCGACGAATCATTCGACCGAGACGGTGACGGACGTGTTTCGGTTCGGGTGCTTTCCATTGTATATTTTTGAAAGTGTTGCCGACTTTGACTGTGCATTGCGTCACACAGGTGCGTGTCTGCGGATGAGCTCGTCTCAATTGTTCGTCATTTTGTACTTTTCAACGACTAGAGCTCTTATGACGCGCGTTATTGCGATGTGACGACGCCGTAGACGCAGGCGACCGGAAACCGGTCGAGCAACGCCATTTTCGCGAGCATTATAGGCTTGTTCTTTTTCTCTGCACTGTGCCCACAGTGCATTAAGTTGAAGTGAAACAGATATACGTTTGTTTCACTTCAACTTATTGCACTGTCTGAACTGGTGCAGACAGTGCAGGCAAAAAGAACAAGCCTATTGCATCACCCGTTCGTTTTCATATTTTTGTACGATTTACTTTAAAGACGTGATCTGGCCGTGTATCGACCTCCTATTTAATTGTTTGGAGACTTGGAGGCGGGAGCCATTATTTAAGGAAGAAGAAAAAGAAGAGCTTTGCTTGTGTGTGCTACCAATTGCGCCAAAATGGTAAGTTAAATGTTGGATTAATTTTCCGAACAAGTTTTTTATATAATAAACAAAAAATTATATATAATTTATATTAGAAAACAAAGATAATGAATGAACAGTATATATTTAAAAAATATACGTATACAGCAGGTTTTTCATACTTTCAAAGATAATAACGTTTATTTATTCCGACAAAGTTGGATACACATTGATGGAACAAATTCTAAAACTTCCGTTTGTTTAAAAGCATAGTTTTTATTATATAGCACAAAATGTTTTATTTTTAATATTATTATTTTGTTAATATTTATTCAGTTTTGTAAATTGTATTTAAATAATTTATTTTTAAATAAATATAAAATTGTTGACATAATAATATATACATATTTTTAATAACAAATTATTTAATATTTTCAGACTATCGGCAAGAACAATAAGATGCTACAGCATATAAACTATAGGGTTAGGATCATTCTACAAGATTCTAGAACATTTATAGGTACATTTAAGGCCTTTGACAAACATATGAATCTGATACTTGGTGACTGTGAGGAGTTTCGTAAGATTAAGCCGAAAAATACAAAGCAACCAGAGAGAGAAGAGAAACGTGTGCTAGGCTTTGTGCTTCTACGCGGCGAGAATATTGTTTCTTTGACGGTAGAAGGTCCACCGCCTCCTGAAGAAGGATTGCCTAGAGTACCAATCCCAGGAGCTGCACCAGGACCAGGTATGGCTCGTGCTGCTGGCAGAGGTATGCCAGCAAATGTTGCAGGAGTACCAGCTGGACTTCAGGGACCAGTCAGAGGTGTCGGAGGCCCATCCCAACAAATCATGACACCTGGCAGTAGAGGTCAAGTCTCGGCACCTCCTCAAATACATCCTGGCGGTCCACCACGTATGCCAGTTGGTGGACCGCCACCAGGTATGATGGGACCACCAGCTGGAATGATGGGTAAGATTTTTTTTCTTAAAAAAAACCCTACTCTTTTGAAATATCATTGTTTTTCCTTTTTCTTTATTCTCTTACATAATCTAAGAATAACTTGATAAACAATTGTTTCTTCTTTTGCTAAATTCATATTGCAATATTTAGCATACATGATATTTTTATTCAAGCTGATTAACATATATTTTATAATATATTTAAAAGAAGTTTTTTTATTCTTCTATTAAATACAATTATTATGTAATATATATCTGATATAAATCTAATATTTTGTTTAATTCTTCATCAATGAAATTTATAAAAATCTAATGTATTAGTAGTACATATTTTATGTATTAATTTACAAAATTATTAAATTATTTAATCTAGAAATAATTACAAAATATGTATATGTATATATATATATTTTTGTAATCTTATAGGTATGCCACCCGGAATGCCACCTATAGGACGTGGTGGTCCACCGATGGGACCACCTGGCATGAGAGGCCCGCCTCCAGGTTTGATGCGCGGTGGCCCACCTCGTCCATATTAGTTACCATATTATTAAAAGATATTTTATAATAATATTGTTACGCTCTAACGGATTCACTCAAGCCAATCCGACGTAACAAAATAATCAAGGACAAGAAATTCTTTTGTAATATTAATATACTATACATTTCAGTTCTTGTAAAATTCTTGTGTGAATGTAAACAGTTTAATAAGATTAATATAATAAATAATAAAGTCTGCTCAGGTAATGTTCATTATCTACATTTAGGAACTTGTAACTCGTATAATCTCTTAGTTAAATTGATTAAAAATAAATTTATGATTTTAGATAATAGATTTTCTATGTGCCTCTAGAGTAAACCTTTTCTGACAGCATTATAATATATCTTCAGTCCAACATAAAGCTTTTTCTGTTATGATACAAATTTTATAAATATATGTAATTAAATATTCAGATACAACAAATGATCAGTTTGTTCACGTTTAAATATTTTTATTTTTGCAATTAACTGTAAATATCATTGTTGTATATGTACATAGTTTGCACTAGTATTATCATATATACAGAACAGAGTATCTCTGATTTATTGCATCAATTCTCATCTATAAATTTTATTTCTAAATGAGAGTATTGCCACTGAGTGGATACTGTATGTGTGCACCGTTTTTAAAATATCTTTTACATACAATATATTACTCGGTAACAGAACTTTACATCGAAATTGTTAAAAAAATTTGTTTACATCAAAATTATTAAAATTAAGAATTAAGTTAAAAATTGATAAAAAAATTTTTTTAATACTAATTAATCCTTTGCCTTACAATTTAACTTATTAGAAACAAAGTCGTTCGCGCGCTGGAACAACCAATGTCTAACAATACATTAAGTTTCCCTTCGTTTATCGTCTCAAAGCTAATGATACCGTGATAAGAAATGTTTAAACCTTGTTTTATAAAATAACATCAAATATTCAGTAATAATATAAAATTATACTTTCATCATATATACTTTTACATAAATTTTATAATATAAAACGAGAAATATAATAGAACAATAATAGAAAGATCTTTTTATAATTTGTAGATATAATTTTGTTTTATAAACAGTTTGCTTGGCAGTCTGTCTACAATTTTTACCACGAGTTCCACTCGTGTTTTTTTTTCTTGGATTTATATAATGCGTATCACGAATTTCACTCACACAATATTATAAGACAAAGGATCAAATTATTCGCTTTAACTTTTCAAGTCATTCTGGTAAAGAATGCACTATAACGTCTTTTCTGATTGCTATATTTTTACGTATACTTTGCGCGAAGCGTTACTGCTACCATCTTTTGATACGAAAAATCTGAGACACTCACAATTAGTACATGTCAGATATATTTAATTGAGAAAATGTAATTATCTCAATTCACATATCGATGAAGAATAGCTACTTACAAATTCGTATGATAAGAATGTAGGCAAAAGTATTCTGCAACTTGATAAAATACTGCATAAAATATAGTAAAGTTTAGGTACTCTAAGTAATAGAATACATCGATATTGCAAATCGAAGGGCAGTGTTATTTCATTTACAAAAAATATAGCCTTTTCCTGTTATACTCTCTTAGGTGAGAGCAAACTGTTGCTCTATATGAGCAAGTTTTATTAAAAAATAGCAAAAAACGATACTTCCCTCTTTCGCTATTAATAACTAATACTATCATTAAATTTCCAATAACATTCGTAATTTATTAATGGCGATAAGGTGGAAGAAAGTATGTATATATCCACCCAACGTCTTTTCTCAGAATAATCCGAGTATGTCAGTACATTTATATATACAAAATATTTACAATGCCGCTGCGACGGTATGAGCAAGTGACAGATTCACAAAATCAAACTTCTCGTACTTAACATCATAATATCACATTTACAAAATGTTTTACATATTTACAAACTGAAGTACAAAATGATTTTCAAGTGTGTATGTAATTTGACACATTCAGTTACATTTTCTTACGCCATGTAACATAAAATTTAGTAATTGCATTGATTCAATTTGATAAATTTTTTAACTGAACAGTCGAATTTGTTATTTGTTAAATAGAGAAATTCTAAAAGCTGATGAAGAAATAATTTACATTGCAAATTGGAATTATGATAAATGAATAAACGCGCATGATTCTTTACAAAAATATAAATTAATGGCAGATTGTATAATTTGGCACTTATATACAGTACTAATATCATTCAATATGTTCGAATATCAGAATCTTAACAAATGATCAAATTATATTCATTTTGTACATATAATAATGAAAAGATTATTTTCAATCCTTTCGAGATCGTCGAAATTTTCCGAGGAGCAACAATGTTAAACATAGCATACGTATATATAGAAACATACGCATATATACTTATACATGTTAAATACATCAGTACGCTTTCGGAAACGAAAGTATCAGCCTTGCCATCGTGTAATTATAATAATTACGACACACACATAACGCGCTGAATTATTATAATACAACTGGAACGTGTACTGGTCACCAGAATATGTGACAGAAAAAAAGTCAGCAAATCGAGAGGATACCTCTCTTTGTCGTACATTTAGAAAGTTTTAAACTACCGATAAATAGTAATAAATATATGCGAGTGATTTGAAACAAATATGAATATGTGCCTTCCAACAAGCGATACGGTGCGATACAGTGATCATCTCATCCTTGTGTAACATTGGCGAACAACAAGGACGTACTGATACACTGTGTCACACCGTGTCATGTGTGTCGCTTGTTGGAAGACACCCAATGTAACGTTACGTTAGGCGTATACGTAAATAATTAAAAAGATATACCTGTCAAATATGCTATCTTGCCATGCCATACTCTTTCAACTAATACGTTAGCACAGCAATGCAGTTAGCACGGCGTTCCAGTTGTATTATAGTTCAGTGATAACACGAGATCTTTAGATGTTACGAGTTGTCATGCTCATCCATTTGGTTTACAGTCACCATTGATCTCGACGACTTTTCTAAATCGCGATTCTCGTCATTATCCGTTAGGTACTGGAAGCTCTGCAAATTCTTATTTGTCGATTCTAACGTCGCATCAAACGTATCCACACTTTCGTTAGGTTTTTCTATTCGAGCATCATCTTCAACATCATCTGTAATTGAATACAGACTTTTCACAAATCATTGCTTTGATTTTAATGACGTATTTCATTTTTCATTAAAATTAAGTTTAACTATGAAAGATACACGCGCGCCCACACACAACATTCTTATACACTTGTGTAACATACCATGTGCTTGCTTTGGCTTGACAAGTATTTCCTTGCTTTCCAACGATTTTGAAGATTCTAGCAGGTTCGTGTCCTGAGAATTTATACTTGCGTTAACATCGTTATTTTTCCTACAAGAGAAAAAAAAGCGTTTATTGATCAAAATATTCAATAAATTCTTAAAGATTTGATATCAAGAATTTTTATTATATACCTATGCTCGATATTATTACTATTTTTCTGAGCTGATCTGCGCATTGCTTCTACTAATACGGAGGTGATGGAATTTGTTTTTAGTAACTCTCGATCTATCGTATTTTTATCGCTGTTGCATTCTTCCTTTGGCAAACATGCATTTATATTCTGTATTGAAGTCTTGGACTCAACATTACAACTGGCAGGTGAATCGAAAAATTGCGAGAGAACTTTATTCTCCTGAATATCGTCCCGAAAACGCGTGACAGACACAACCGTTGCTTTTGCAGACTGTAAAATATAATTGTAAGTGCACATAGGAGACAACAGACTAAACGGAATAATAACGATAAGATATAATAAACACCTTTATATTCAAATATTTATGATAAGGCTCAATAAGTATTAAACAACTAATATAATGAAATAAGGGCAATGAGCCAATTTTCATTAAAATCTTTAAATCACCTTTATATTCGTTTTGACAGATTCTGCATTCTGTGGCGAGTTTGTAATTGGCAGCATAGTCTTCGTTTGATCTCCATTATTCAGAGAGATATGATGGGGTTGAACGTTAATCAAGTTTGCATTATGTTGGCTCGTAACACATAGATTTTTTCCTTCCATTATTACTTTCCCTAACACTTCCTGAAATGGTCAGTAAAGCAATTAATACAATGACATCTATTCAACTTTAACTTTTATTCTTTGATTTATCTTTGTATTCTTGATATTTATTAGAATACCTTGCCTGCGTGTGATAGTGTTACAGATTTTGCCTTCTGGATAACGATTACGTTAGCTTTATTTAATTTAGTGTTAGTATAATGAGGCATATTTATAACTTTCTTAGGAAAAATACCCTAAAATAAATTAATATATATATAGTAACATAATAATATACTCTTGATAAAATGTTTCTACATCATTTTTTATCGCAATTTTAAAATATATTATAAAATTAAACAGAACTGATCATTTATATTTACCGTTTTGGCAGTGGATTGATCAAAAGTTACAATTTGTTCGGATGGCAGTTTTGTACACATTAATGTTATGGGGACTTGTTTAACTTGAGGTGGTCCAGGACCGTTTGATACTGTGGTTCCAGGATATACAGGTATTGATTGTGGAAGTCGAGTGCCTGAGGATTTAGATTTTCTATTATCTACATTTTTACATACTTCACAATTATAAAAATAATTATAAAATATCATTCAATTTTTTTAAGTATTCTTATAAATTATGAAAAATATATATATAACTTATCATCTTACTTGTCATTTTAGTATAATTTTGTATAATTGGGTCACAAAGTGTCTTAGAGCCCATTATAGGTGATGAATTTGAACTATGTTCACATAATAATGAGTGAATATTATCAGCCTGAGTTTTCTGTATACCATCTGCAACAATAAAAGAAAATTTCATGTTTACAATGCACAGAAATTAAACGTATGTTATGAAATTAAATCGCTGTAAATTTGATACAGGTGCATACTTGTGCTATCTTGAGATTGTGCGTCTTTACTTGAATGCACTTTATTTATGCTCAATATACAGTTTGATATTGCCGGCACTACTTTGGTATTAATTTTACTCTGATCAGTGCTTGCTACTATTTTAGGATTGCTGACGTGATTTGTGCATATGGAAGTTGTTGTAATAACTACATGTTTATTTAATGAAACTGTAGTGCACTCACTTGGATATTCTGATA